GAGAGAGAGAGAGAGAGACAACCTTATTTGATTTCTTCGCGTCCTGCAATTGGAACCAATGATCGAACCATTTTACTCTTCGCTGATCAAAATCAACACGCGATTAAATCGCTTCCTCCCGCGAAAAAACTGAACTGAAAAATTAATCAGCTCTCAATCTCCTTCGAGAAATTTTCTCGCGTCCAAGATTTTTTTCAATCGTATCGTTGAATTGAAATTACATCTGGACGACAAACTCGAGAAAATTGAAAATCACAAAATCAATGAACCAACAATTACACACGTCCCTGCCTGGTGCACGATATAGAAAAGCATATAACACACGCGCGTACGTCCCGCACATACGCGAGCTCGCTGCGGATAGCTTAGGTTGGTTAGTTAGCGTGCAAGTACACGTATCAAAGGCACTCAGAATCCGAGCTTAACAAAGCCAGGTTTGGGTTTACCAACCGTGTCACGTAGTACGTGTATACCTTACCTGCTCACGCTTCGCAAAACCTAAACCTCCTGTGGCCCGTCTAACTTTGGTCTTAATGCGTCAACGGGGAGGGATAAGTTTCGCCGGGGCAATTAAAACTAATTATTCCCGTCCGCGGTGGCATCGGCTAACCGAGGGACCCCCGATCGTTCGTAATTATATATCCGAATTGGAATCTCGTTAACCGTGAATTTATAGAAAACACTTCGTGCCTCTAATTGATCCCGATTGAATTAGCGACGTTATTCACCGAGTTTTACCGAGTCAACCGTCCAGATTATAAGACGAGAGAGCCAATAGAATTATTAAAATAGAATTTTTAAAAATATTTTTATATCGTTTAAGGAAAGAAAAGTTCTCTCGATACGAGAATGTGTGCAAAAATTCTAAATTTACGATATATAGAATAGAAGACCGCGAAGATACGTTATACAAATTCTTACGTATCTCGTCAACTAGATCTCGAAGAATTTTTCGTTCATTCCGGGGGTATATCTCGGCGAGGACGTAATAGCTGGCACAAGGGTGAATTTGAAAACAGATTAGCGTGACGTCCATCCAGGTACGGTTCTATCGGGTGGAGATAGGATCGCGGAATTCTAGCACGGTGAGCAGGGATGTATCGAAAATTTCAAAGCCAAATGTGCAACTAAGTAGCTACTTAGATCCCGCTTTGATGCAGGGGATTGAGATTCGCATTTGAATGGGAGATTTACCCGGCGGATTTTCGCCCCGGATTGAGCCATTGTCCTATTTAAACCGGCCACCTGACGGGGCTCTTGACACGCCACCGTTTGCCTTTCTGCATTTTAAATACGATACCCCGCTCGTGTCACGTACACGCTCCTGTGAAAGCTTCCTTGAAACCCCGCGAATCGTGGATTCCGCCGTTAAAAATAATTCGATTAATTTCGAGCGCGAGGATGATTCGAACTGTTCCGTCAGACAGCTGTCTCGATTACTTTTCCCTTTTTTTTTTTTCCAAGCCACGGCGTCAATCTGCCCTTAAGCACAACACGACAATCTAATAGCCGATTCCACGCCCGAAAAATTAGCTCAAATGAATAAATACGATGTATGGATGGGCGGTGAAAGTATTGTCGTCTCGCTCTCGGTCCAGGTTTCTTCCTCTTGCCAGAATTCGTGTGGCTTTTCTCGATCATCGTTTCGACGAAGGAAGGATTTAAATTAATTGATTTCGAGCACGATCGCGGGAAGATTCGAACGTTTGTTGTTTTTTTGAACGAGGAGAGAGGTAAGGAGGATCGATCGCTTGACAATATTTTAGCGTGGAAAGGGGGATGTTTTGGCGCCCCAACGTGCAGAAATGGTCACCCCTCTTGTACTACACGGCACCCCATCTATCGAATTATTTTGATTCTACGATAATTCACCCTGCCTAATATCCCTCCCCCTCTCTCTCGAATCCGGATTGGGGAAGAAAAGCATTTCGATGGTAATACGGAAAACAAAAAGCGATCGTTCTTAGAGAATTATGTGCTTTAAGGATTGGTAAGATTTATCACGATTAAAGAACAGAGAGTGTTCTTAAGAAGAGTGTTAAAAAACACCCACCCGAATGAAGATGAAGATATTAATAATTCTAATTCGAAAATGTGTATTTAACAATTTCACTCTTCTCTTCCAACTTCTAAATTATCTTTATGCATTATTCTACTTGAACTTTATTCTACTTCATTTCCATAGAATTGAACTTCAACTAACTCCACCTCCATAAATTGAAAAATAAATCTTTTGTCACGGATTGCGCGACAATAGCCTCTTTTTTTTTTTTTTTACACATCTATATTTTAGTGGCAATTTTCAAAGGAATCGAGATTGTAACGCGCGCTGATCGGCTTAACGGTTCGTCGCGCGTGCTCTGAACAAGCAAGCGATGCGAAGGTTCGGCCGAATCCTTGGCCCGTGACGAATTCATACGCTCGATTCCTATGTAATTTTTGGAAAGTATAGAGGCAGGAGACGCGATAATCCGTCGCGGCCGGCCATTGTCGGCGCGAAATCGAATCTCGTCAATTAGATTTTCGGTGTTTACGGTTGGTTAGAGCGTGCACCGGCCGGCACAATGGCGGTGACTACGTTTCCGTGGACAGCTGTGTCGATACTTTCGCACTCTTTCGACGCCACCCTCGTGTCCAACTCTCTCATTATTACGATGTGGCCTCAGGCCACAGATTTTACACAGGGCCATGCCACCGTGTCTAATTCGCCGTCCCGTCTTTTCGCCAATCACTCGATTAATTGGTAACGAATTTCTCGAGTTCCGATCGTGAAATCACTCGTCAGGTAAGTCGTTAGTCAATCCCGATCAGGGATCTGATTCTTTTAAGTCAAGATGATCGTGTATCTCCAATTCTTGATTTCGTATCTATTCAGTGTTCGCTACTTGTTTATCTTTACAATTTTAATATCTGTGAATTTTAAATGTAACTTATTACATTTTAATATATTAATTTTTATTAAATATATATATATATATATAATTAATGTATTAATATAATTATTATATCTTTAAAATATATTATTTAATAATAATATATATATATATATATATTTACTAATTACATCATTACTCAGAGGGAAATCTTATATATCAGAGAAAAATTTACTACTTGAAATTTATTACTTTAGCTTCGAATTGGGAGACAACAGTGTCGCTTTAAGCAAAAACGTGCAACGTTTGCCATGGAAAACAATCCTTCCTTCCGATTAGAAAACCAGAATCTGGTTCTTTTAAATATCCAATTCTTGATTTCGGTGCTACAATTGATTGTAGCATTGTCTATCTACAATTTTAATAATTAATTAATAACTGTGAGAAAAAAAGTCTTATATATTATAAAGAAAATTTTGATGAAATTTGTTTCTTTAATTTCAAATTGAGAGACACCTTGAACACAAACGTGGAACGTTTGCCATGGAAAACAATCCTTCCGATTGGAAAACCAGAATCTGGTTCTTTTAAATCTCCAATTCTTGATTTCGGTGCTAGAATTGATTGCAGCATTGTTTACCTACAATTTTAATAATTAATTAATAACTAATAAGAAAGAACTCTTATATATTAAAGAAAAATTTAAGGAAATTTATTACTTTAGCTTCGAATTGGGAGACAAGATTTTAAATCAAGATGATCTCCAATTCTTGATTTCATAGTTCTATTCAGTTTTGATTGTAGCCTTGTTTTTGTAGCTCTTTAATCTATCAAAATTTACTACTTTAATTTCGAATCTTGGGATCGCCTTGAGCGCGGAAAAAGACGCGGAAACGTTTGCCGTGGAAAACAATCCTGTGCGGGGATTTTGGCCGATTGAAATGCCTCGAAGATCTCCGCTCGAGCGGACTTGGCGATTTGAATATTCCGCCGAGTTAATCCACTGACTGACAAAAGATGTTATCCTCTCTTTGTCCCTCCCCTGAACGAGAATAGGGTGGGGAGAGGGCGAAGTTTCAGGCCACGACGGCCGTCTTGGTTAATCACTACAATTGATATTCCGCTGATATCACCGCACCGAGTGACGGGGTAACGAAGTAACGCGATTAAAGGGAGCCTCTTATTGGCCCGCTCCCGCTCGTTCTCTTCAATCGAGTTACATGATTAGCCGCGGGAAAGAGGGCAGATCCTTGGCGACGAGCCTCCTCCATCGGCGAAAATAGCAAAGGGATCGAAGGGAAAGATGATCAAGCTGATCCTTCTTCTTTTCATCGATTGCTAACATCTTTGATTAGAAATTTATATACCTTTTATATAGAGGGATGTCCGTTTACTTGCCTCGAAACCATTTAATTAAATTGTTTTCTAGTCTCGGTTCGTGGAAATGGCACACGTCCAAAGATGTAGAAAGGAGTGACAAGCAGTTTCTTGTCGATAATGCATAGAACAATATATTCTAACATGTATAATTCATTTTCTTACGGCAAGGAGATTCGTTTAGCAGAGACGTATTGGCGACTTCCTGTGGGGAGAGTCTCCACGTCCGTGGATGCCCACTCGCCAAAGCGAAATCTGGAGAACCGCATCACGCAAAGGCTGCGTTACAATACGCTGATTTCCGACATTAATGACATATTTGCGACAACAATGTTGTGTGTAAACGAGCGTATTATATAATGACGAAATCACGAGGAAGAGAGAAAGAGAGAGATTCCGCTCGCGTTCAAGCAACATCCGTGAATCGAAGTCGGAGCTCGAAGTCTGTGTGCACGGAATCGGTCGTTACGTGCATGCACCCACACGTAGGAACGGCGGCCAAAGCCGCCGTTTCTTGTCGACGTGTGGGTGGAAGATACTCACGGCCGCAGGAAACAGCGCATCATGGTAATAACCGTCATCAAACGACGACCACTTAGAACCAGACCAGGCCCCTCCGTGGAAAATTCGTCCTTTTTGCCTTTGAGGAAACCTTGCTTCTCCTACGACGATTTAACTTTTTAGCTACTATCCTCTTCGTAATGCAAGTTAATGTAATTTTACTCGTTTATCGAACGTACCTTTTTCTTTCTGCTTATTTACCACGATTTAGTTTGCAGGATCGATTTGTTTTTGTAAAAGCGGTTGAATTAATTTTCACTCAAACTCGCGTGGAATCGCTAACAACCTTTCGAGGAAGTGTTCACGGTGGTTAATCGACGAGATGGGTCGTTAATTCTATACGTAGAAGCGGTTCCTTGTTATTCGCGTAGAGAAAGGACGTGTCATGGTAACAACCGTCGTCAAAGACGATTTCTTTTTTTAGAATAACGTAAAATCCTCCTTTAAGAATTTTTATTTAAAATGCCACCATCGATATCAATTCCAATTAAATACTTTTCGATATTTAAACAAGAGATTAGAACAAATTTTAACATCAAACATAAAATCAACATCTTTTCTATTTTTCGTTAAATTGAAAAAAAAAAAAGAAATAAATAAAAAAGAGAAATTTTCGAACAACGGACGAAACCCGTTCGAAAAAGGATAAAAAAAAAAAAATCCTTCGTTATAGAAACAAGTCTTAATTTCGTGTCTCGTAACCGTAGCCAAGTTTCCAGTCTATTTTCTATCGGATCAAAGTATCATCCGCTAACAAGCGTTCGTGACGGCGGCGCGGTATTAAACTGTCCGCGATATCCGCCATTTGAAAACGGTCGGGGATGGAAATAGGCGGCGAAAAAGTGGGCGACGAAGACGGACGATGGAAAACGAAGGGGCTGGAGGAGGGGAGGAACGCGGGAGAGAGAGAGAGAGAGAGAGAGATGGCTGAGCGGGGAGCGAGAGAGAGAGAGAGAGAGAGAGGGAGAGAGCCGAGGATGGAGAGACGGATGGACAGACAGAGAAATTACAGCCGCATGCTGCGTTCAGGAAACGGCGCATTCTATTGTGCTTTTGTCATAGTTAAACTGTCAGGCCAATTTTGCGTCGAGCCAATTTATGCTCACGCGTCCCGATGTGTGCGATACTCTTCCCCCCGCCCCGAAATGGCACGTTATGTTGGGCCGCATAATTTTGCAAAAATTTTCGTACGCCGAGGAGGTGAAACGGAGGGAAGCCAAGATGAACGTTGTTTTCAGATACGTATCGTCGTACCCTGTCGAATTTATTTCATTGAGAAGGATATTCGTTATATATTGGTGGCAAGTCAAGTGTAGCATTTACCTGATGGAAAGAATTACTTTGCTCTGCTCGATTAATGTTCGATAGAAGAATTATTGATCGCTTCGTTCGTAAGGGATGAAAGTCGTATGCGTATTTATCTAAAAAGAAATTTTCTTGCTCGTAAAAGCGATTGATAAATAAATTTTATTGTATTCAATGTTCGCGCATTGGTTGCATTCGATGAGATGGCTATTTAGATCCGATAGAGGAGGATTATTTTTGCTGTTGCGACGTCCATCTTCGTTTTTTGACCTAAAAAAAGAAATGATGTGAGCATATATCTACCTTTGCCAATTCCGTTATAAATTTTATACGAACTGAAATATCTACTATTTTTCTCATTTTCGAAGATAACAGTTGTAACACATCACATCATCATGGTTTCATTTGGTATAACGAAATATAAATTAAATGGATAGCGCTTCTGAAACGAAAGGAATCGATAGATCGATAACTATTATTTTGTTTCCACGATAAAAAAAACCCACTTTTAATATACTTTACTACGCTATCTTCCGTTATCTGCACGTTCATCGTTTCATCGACGTTATGCTAATCGTTTCCAGTTTCCCATTACGTCATATCGATTCCTCGCAGAACGAAAACAATAAAAAGAAGAAGAAGAAGAAGAAGAAGAAGAAAAAGTTCAAGCAAGAAGAAAAAACGATCTGATCTTTGCAATAATCATTACGATAATTCGCAGTTTAGCCGATTTCGCGATTCTGCTCACGTACGAAACGGTACCTACGATTCGTTCGAATTCCACGAACAGTTTACGTCGACTTAACGATCGCAGAACTGCGACTTGAGCGGCTAGCAAATCGCGGTTGGCTTCGACCCATCCCGCCAATTAGCTTAATTAAATAATAATTGAAAGGAGAGAACGGTTGGCCGAGAGTAAGCGAACCACGCCCCGAGCATCCGTGATATGGCGACCAATCGAGACCACCACCTCGTCTTAATCACACGGCTCTGTAACTGTCCTTTAATCCCGGGGAGGACCCGCCTTGGAAAAGGGGGTCGCGCGAATCGTCGATCGATTCGCTGCAAAAAAAAATACCGCTCCACCGATTTCTTCGAAAAGCGACACCCTCGTTTCCTCGCGATCGTTAATACCGTCTATCCAGTGTGTATCTTCGGGAAAGGTGGAATATTATCGACAGGCAACGATTTGTTTGCAACGCGGCCAGAATTTAAACTCCTCTCATGCATTATGCATAGTGAGAAAGTGAAACAAACTACGAGCGAAAAACTGGTCCGCCGCTCCTCCAAAATCGATCGGATGCTAATCGCTTCCAATCCGAAAAACCGATCGTCACGATCGTCTAGACGCAAAACTTTATTCCAAGAGTTTTAATCCAAGAGTTTTCTATTCCGTGGCGAATAGAATTATAAAACAAGGTGAGCAATGAGTAAGGGAAGAGATACAGTAACCAGATACAAATGGATACAAACAGATCCTCGATAATAGGCAATATTCAATCTGCCAGGTTTTTCAAAAAGTTTTGGTCCAATTTTAAAAAAAAGAGTTATTGATTCAACGCTCGCGACATCCCGCCTAAGATAAATCCGAATCAAATGAATATTATTCTGCTCGGATCGGGTCGAAATGAGACGAAACTTTCATTCGTAACACGTATCCGGCCAATTAGCCGAGGCGTTAAAGTATTCTATGGTTTCAAGGAAAGGCGGTTTGCGGTGTACTTAAACGCCGACTCCACTTTCGATGTGCATGAATAAAACATGGTTCGGAGAGACAGCCGATGCACGAGTGGTTGAGAAAAGAAAAAGAGAGAGAAAAGATCGCAACGTATGAGAAACGATACTTTGTTCCCGTGGAATCCTAGCCTCCCCTCTCGCCCGAGCAATTGCGAGGAAGGGGAAATTATTCGGTAAATGCGATCAGTTCCGATGACGGCGAAAATTAGAGGACCGATGAAAATTTTAAACGCGCGGCAAAATGAATTTTCGACAACCGTCACGGAGGGGTTGCCCCGACACCTCTGCACCCTCTCTGTTTCAACGGTAATTCCGTTACCATTGTCCTTGATGACGTCAGCGCATTTCGTCCTCCTCCTCCTCCTCCTCCTCGTCCAATGAAACATTTCGTCCATCGTTGCCCAAGTATTCGAGTATCGGTCCATTCGACCGAGAACAGTTTGGTCTCGTGTTTTTGCCATAGATTCTGAAAAAGATTCTTTTGTCAAATATCGAATTGAACGAAGAAAATCTTCTTAGCGATTAGATTATGAATGCAAAAATTTATGCAAAAATATAAATAATACGTAAAAACTCGTGTTTCATAAACTTATACTATCATATCCTGTTCGTAACACTTGAAATTTCTAATAAATTTCCTTAAGGTAAAAAGAATGAAAGAAAAAAGAAAAAAACTATGATGAATCGCCTTCATGATTATTATTTCCATTTTGATTAACAAAAACGTGCGAGTTGTCCATGCGATGTTTCTTTTACGATTGTTAGCTTGTCTCGGGGAAGAGGAGTGAACGGTAGCAAGTGATACGCGAAGCTGGCCGCTCGCTTGTGTCTTCAAGTGGCAGCACGATCTTCCAATGAAATTGCAGTGCATGTATATACACACGGCCGGGTGGTACAAGCCGGCGCAGACGCGTCACGTGAACAAGCAGGAGGGCGCGTATTTCCACCCTCGACTTGGGCTGGTAATGCCGTGGCCGGGGTGTGAAAATCAGGAGCGAACCGTGGCGGAGGCGGAAGAGAAAGAAGAGAGAGGGGGAGGGAGAGAGAGAGAGAGAGAGCGCAGGAGGAGGAAGGATAAAAAGGGGAGAAAGAGGAGTAGAGGAGGAGGAAAAGGTTGAGAGAGGGGTGAGAAACTGAAATACCCCTGGGTCCAGCGAGCTAGGGAGGATCAGAAGAGGCAGAGGAGAGAGAGAGGGGTGAGGGGGTGGATATAGCCGTGAGTGAGAGGGAGAGATTGCCGCCATTTTACAGTGGCGCGGATCTGCATAACGATCAGAGACTGTCGTGTTTATCAAAGCTTTTCTCCGCCATCTGCATAATTTTCTGCCGCGCCAGTATAGAGAGAACGGGGTGGCGAACGGTGGAGGGGGCGGGAACGCCTAGATACACCCTTGCTCTTCCACTCTCGAGTGCATTTTATGTGCACGACTTATGAAACTTTAACGCCCTTACGAATAAATTACTCGAGTAAGCGTCGCCCGCTCCAGCCTTCCGGACGCGTGATTGGCCCATTTGCATTTCCAAGCGAGACGAATTAATAAAAAAATATTTGCCTAAGTCCTTCCCGTACTGAAACTTGAATTTCATTGTCGCATTCCGTCACACGCTTCGATTACACCTCCCACCCCTCCCCCCTCCCCCCTTTTTTTTCTTTCCCAGGGATTTGGAAATGGATAATCTCGCTCGCACGGTAAAATTGACTTGTCGCGAATTTAAAAATCGGCGGGAATTATATTTACAGGTATTTGAACGAGATTATCATTTAACTTATTGGCACGAGCAAAGAATTAACACGTGAAATATTTTTACATATATATACAATTGTCATATTTGCAAAATTAATTTGCAATTTTATATAAATATAATATAATTTCCCTCGTACGAGCTGTGAAATCTTTGAACAAGTTGAACGAAAAATCGTGGATGGAATCGGACAGACATTGAACCTGCTTGCCTGCCTGAAGAATGGATAGAATTCACGTAAATGAGATTCTGTTCTTTCGTTATTATTCGATGCCAATTATCTAATCCGCGAAAAATTTCTGTTTCTCGAGAAACGGGAGGGAGGGAATAAAATTTGCAAGAGATGGATCAATGTTTCACGAAACTACGACATATGTATTGGAGCATCGACACGGCCGAATTCCCAAAGCGACCGTTGAGGAAGAAAAATATTTAGTGACAGTCCCTACGTATCGATGGGGTGGTACCCGTTATTAGGGTTCTTATTAACCCAGCATATGGAGTAGAAGGGCGATTTTCAGATACTGATCGAGAGGGCCATTCTCTCTCCGTTTTCTCTCCGTGTCGGTGATCGCGCGCAAAGATACCGCAGTTTGTAGTAACAGGTCCTATTTCAAGGGATTACAAATAGATTTAATCTTTATCGGCGATCTTCTGCTTTTTATCGGCCAGAATGCAAATGCTTCTGATTCGTAAGATGAAACTTAAAAAGAATCGAGCAAACCTCGTTTCGTTGTAACGTTACACCTTGATCGTTCCATATACCATTTCATATGGTTTTGAATATTATTGATTCTCTCTCCTCCGTTACAAAACCCAATATAATCCAGTAGTGTATTCCAATCTTGAAATGTTCCCTATAACGATATCAGTGAAATCTGATATCCTATCACCTTCGTTTTTCGACGACACATATATATATTAAAATCCTAAAAAGTTAAAAAGTTTATATTTATAATTTTAATAAAAAGATAATATCAGTTAAAAGAAAATATAGATAAAATTTTATAGAACGTCAGAATTGTTTTGTCTGTTAAAATAATACCTATCTATAGTTACCTATTTTATCTTTTCTTTCTTTCTTTTTTTCTTTGAAACAAAAACTTAATCAATCCGTTTATCAGGGAGAGTTCAAGGGTAGAACAGTTAACGCGTTAGTTCACTTGATTTGGAGACTTAATGAGCCCGTTGACACTTTGATGCAGGGTGTCCCGCGTGTCGCCAGGGAATTGCCAGTTCAATAATTCAGAGGCTGGCCGTAATGGAACTTGTCCGCGGGACTCGATCTATCATAGGAAATTGCACGAAGCCCTTTTACCGGCGCACATAAGAAACATACATATTAGAAGAATAACAGCGGGTTAGCCCGTAACCTCGTCGTGTCTGCCGTTTCGTTCCGAGAATTGATTAGAACCTGGAAATAAATCGTGCATGCGTGAAATTTCATCGGCACATGTGTAACACAGCGAAAATCTTCAGGAAAAATAATTAAAAGATATTTCGTGGAACGTTCGTAAAAATTTCTTTGTGTTGATCAACCTTTTAGTGGAGCCCATCCATTTAACTCGTCGATCGACGAAAATCTTGACGCGTCCTGAAAATCGAGAAGACGTTTAATAGACGAGAACGAAATTTAAAAAAAAAAAAAAGAAAGAAGAAGAAGAAGAAGAAGAAGAAAAGCGCAACGCGTTGGAGAAATGCGAAAAATTCATCGAATTTCGTGGGTATGGTAGGCTAGATGGCCGTTGTTAATTAGCCGTCGATCCATTTAACTCGTTGACTGGCGCGACACGATTATATTTCGCGCTTAACGAGCACCCGATTAATATATTAATGACAATCAGAGAGGACTTTGAGTATGGTTGATGGCCGCGTGAGGAGTGTGAGAACCGGGGTTGATTAATTGGTGCACTCGTTCCGAAAGCAGGAACCGGTTTCGTCGGATAATCGCCGATTCCGTTTGTGCGGAATTTTTCCGGAAGCTCGTTCCATCCGTTCGGAACGCGGCGGAACTCCGCGCAGCTTCGACTGGCGGCCTCTCGGTCGTCGTCCGTCGGTTGCGAGGAACGCTCCACGTCAAAAGCAAAGCTCAGAGGCAATCATGAGCTTTCGAATGCAAAACAGCAGCTTTCGCCTAGCAGCACTCGGCACTTTTACATTTAAATGTAAACTCGCTGAGTGCGCGCCGCAGAGCCACCCTCGCCATATCCTCTCCCCCGTCTAGCAACGGACCCCTTCTCCTCCCCCGCTGCACCATCCGCCTCCTCCTCCTCCTCCATCTCTTTCGAGGACGTAGGCGATATGGCGGAGGCGCCTGGATTTAATATTTTACACCTCAAATGTTGGGCGCGCGCGCGAGCCAGAAATGCAAAACAGCTCGCCGAGTATCCCTCGAGTTGCCCCCTCCGCCGCCATCCATAACGATTCCCTTCCCCTCTCGGCTTAGATTGGATTTAAAACGCGCTAATTTGTCGAGCACAACACGCTCGCGTGTCTTCCACCGTCCGTGTACGCTCCTTCTGCGTACCAAGCTTTGCGACAGGGGTACGTGTACGTGTGGGCACGGTGGGCCACATCTAAATTTAAAATCTGCTTTGCATAATGCCCGACCTCGTCGTTGCACGTCGACCCCGGGACCGCCTAATTGCGGCCTCGTTCGTGTCCCTTCGACACCTACAGCAGCCATTCTCGAAAAACCGGCTCCTTCCGCCCACCATCCCTCTCGCTCGCTTCCGCCACTTTGAATCGACCGACCAGATAACCGGACACTATATTCCTCCTCATCCTCTATCATCGTTGCTCATCGATCCAACGTTTCTAGCGAAGATCGATCTTGGAGCCTTCCTTACGAATGACACCGTGTGCGTGTGTTTTCTGTGAAATTGATTCGAGAAGTCTCGAGAAAGAAGGGCTCTTCGAAGATGCATTGTTGAGATAATTTAATTAATTTAGACTTGTATTTTTATCGATTTATAGAACTTTGACTAGATAAAAATCTCTTGGAGAAACGCAAACATCTTTACACGTGTTATTTTGTGATAAAGATCACTCTATATGCACGTGCGTATATATAAATTTTCATCCCTCGTCCACTAATACAGTCATCGTGTATTGTCCAAGAAACTTGGTCACGGTGGTCACACGGGGTAGATCTCTCTGTATCGTGCTTAATGTAGTATTAAACGCAGTTATTGTGCCGCGCCGTCCATCGTGTTCACAAATTTATTTCCTCGCTGCTCCCCGTTGTCCATCCATCTCTCAGAAAAGGGAATAAAGGGCGAGCACGTGCCGTTTCGATGCAAAGAATTCGAAAGGAATGCGATTACCCGCCTTTGTTCGTTTCTGGAAACTTTGTTCATTGGCCGTTCACACTCCAAACTTCTGAAAGGAAAAAAAAAAAAATTAGTTTCAAATAAATCGATTGAAATTTATAAAATCGTTCTTGAAAAACAAGAATACATCCATAAGAATCTATTAGATATTAATTCTTCTAATCTTTCATATAAGATATATTAAATCGAATAAATATATTGGAAGGAGTGCATGCCTCTCACTGTCGTTACTTGCCACTTTCCTGTTGATAACCCCACCATTATACTCGTGGCCCCTGAATAACAGGGGAAGAGAGTTCACAATGGGCCACAATGACTGAGCCAACATTACGAATTAGGCTCGGTTACGCGTTTATTGCTGATTCCGGTCCAGGGCAGCGGCGTCGAGTCGTATTTTCCAAACTGTCCGATTAAACGAGCGACAGCACGATCGCGAAAGGACGCCACTGCGGAGATGCGAAGTATTAGCATTGGTTAGCTTTATGGGGCGTTCAGTTCCGCCGTTCTATCATCCTCTCTTTCGCTCGCGTTCCGCTCCTCTTTTTACCCTCTCGTTCCTTCCAACTCTCTCGTTTCGGGAGAGCGGCAGATCAATAAAATCTGTCTGTCTGGAAAAGTAATGCCAAATCGGCTGTCCGTTTTTGGCGGCGAACAAATAAATGTCACAAAAGGAGTGGAACCGTTTCCTCGTACCTCGACCAGTCCGTCGGCCCAGACGGTTTAACCATTCCATTCTCCGCTGCCCCTATTTGCCAAAATATCGAACGGAATCGTGGATCTTGCAGCAAGGGGAAGGTGCATTGACATTTTTGACAGTTCTTCCATGATGGTGTCTGCAAAAAATTTTGCATCGTGTAAGATTCGCGGAATAAAAATGCAACACCCTGCCTGTCTTTTGTACGTATAAAACTCTTTTGATTGATCGAACAATCGATAAATTTATTCCTTGATATTTTAATAACGAATAGGGAAGTAGCTGCAAAAATTTGTTAAAAATTGAAGTGAACATTTATCGATTAGCGTTTTCTTTTCAACGATTAAGTCGTGTAGTGAAGTAATGTTCGTAATATCGATAAATTATCCTTATGGATAATTGATCAGAGGGAAGATATCGCATAATACGAGCTCGAATAACTTAACGTTGATAAAAGAATTTGTTTTTTTTTTTGACGATTAGACGATGACTAGTAAGAGCCATGCCACGAGTATCGAAACTGGGACGCAATAATTATTAATCAATTTCGTATTAATTGTTTTCCAGGCGTCGAGCTTAAGTGGGATGTTGTGTTCTGGCTTCTGGCAAGCTTTGCCCCGTAACCAGCCAAAGTGTCATACAAGAAGATTAATTACGTCTCCACCACCCTTTATATACGTCATGCGTGTGACTACCCTTCTCCTTAATCCTTGGATACTCGTAAAAGTGTTCCAACTTGTGCGAAGATATCGAGAAAAAATAAAGTAAACGAATTAATATTCAATAAGCATATCCATCCTTCGAATAAGCACGATCCTTTCATTCGAAAAATTACGAAATATCGCGAAAATAATTCTCTCGAACGATTCTTTAAACTTGAATTCGAATAATTACCCTTAAGAAGTATCTACTCCCTTTACGGAGAATTCTTTTTCGAGATTGGACCACTGGTTGGTAGGAAAAAAAAAAAAAAAAAAAAAAAAAGGGGGTACACGAAAATAAAAGAGACCCGAGGGAATAAGATTTCGACGGTACTCCGTTCTCGATCCACGAAAGAGCCAAGTTAGTTTTATTTTACAATCCATCGGCTTCCACGACACGGAGGGGTGAGTTTGAGCTGGTACGAGAAGAACGAGAGAGAGACGTCGAATGGTGGTTGGATTCCTTCTGGATGGTTGGACGAGTGTCGAGGAGGGTGCACAAGTTGCGAGGGGGTGGACTCGGCTGTCAACTAGTGTTTTAAAAGTTTGCGACAGCTTACAAATTGGCTCGCTCAGTTCTTTTTAAAAGCACCGCCAACCAACCACGTCGCGTACCCCACCGTGTGTGTGTGTGTGTGTGTGCTTGCAATCGTTGAACGAAAAGTTTTTTCCAATTTCTGAAAGATAAATTTCAATGTATAATCACATTTATCGTATTAAATAAAGTGCAGATATTTATGCAAAATAAACGATATCTCTAATATGCAGAAAAAAAAAGATATTTTTAGAATCCATCGATTATAAAATAAAATCTCTCTTTAACAACGTATGTATTCACATAAACATCAAATCTATCTATACACGTTATATTTATATATATATAAAATTTGAGAGAAATTTGCACGATTGGAAGATTGTAAAAGTCACGTCCATTGATGCGTTTGCGTTTTAGACGAACGCAAATGATCGGCCAGGATGAAATGAAACGCTCGAAATAAATCGTGGGAAGGGGCTTTTTCCATCAGCCATTGTACCCTCGATCATTATTCTCAAGAGTTTCGCGAAAAGTTCCGACCATTTTCGGACAAATCGACTTCCATCTAGGAGACGCCGGCCCCTATATAGGGAATATGCTTACGCGCGATTCAAATCCCGGAAGTTTAAAAGTATTTCGACGTAAAACGTGGCCATTTCTCATATTTTCTATGCAGCCACGCTCCGTCGTGGACGCATTTGATACACTCTATTAGTCGCATCCCTGGCCTGATTTATCGGTTTACCCGCATTATTATACATTTTCCTCGTAACGGGACCCGAGATTCATCGTATTCTGGTAGTTTGCCTATTCTGTGCACATTATTACATATTCCATTAGTCTGGTAGCGACAGATCAATGGTTATTATATGCGGATTTAAGAATCGAATCCGCTGGAGAAGATCTTTCTGAGAAGATGATAAAAAAGAGTGATGATTGTATGAATTTTTTTTTTATTACAGTTAACAAGTTATTATAGATTAGCAACGTGTTATAATGTATCATGAAAGTGATAATTTTACAAGACATAACGAATGGTTTAATTATGAATGGATTATGATATTCCAACTTGGAAATTTTTTACTAACTTTTTGTGAATTAAAAATATGATTATTGTTATTATTGGCCAATTAATCTAACAAATCTAATAAATTCAGAGAAGAGATATACTTCATGGAAAAACTACAAATTTTGAGATCTTACATACATAGTTTCGAGTTTTGCTAATTTGAAACTCAAATCGTTATAAATAAAAATTATTATTAGAAATACTTAACTTATAATACATAAACGATTTATCTAAATAATTAATTATTATAGCTTACATATAATTTCTCCATGTTGTAAGAAGCAGAAAGAAATGATCATCAGTTTTGTTCGTAATCATTATTAACTTGCATCATTGATGCCATTTGTGTTATTGATTGTGAAGAATCTACGACTATTAGATTGCTCTTTTATCCACTTTTTCCGAGTATCATTCACAGTAGACCATAAGTATATAGAAAATACTAGATCGACAAAACATAAATTTTGTTCGTTATTTGATTTAGCTACAATTCAATAATTTTAATATACTTACTAAGATATAAACCTGACATTGGAAAAAACCAAATTTCTGAATAAACAAGAAATGATGGCTCTGTTCGAGATAAATTTTGCACAAAGGAAAGAATGAACGACACACTTTGATTCATTATGCTTGTTGTTTGCATGATTAGCCAGGGTATAGTGTACGTAGGTTTCCTCTATGAACATACATCAAAAATAATAATTTAATCGTTGATAAGTTAAGTAAAATATTTGTAAATAATAAAAATATGTTTCTTAGATATAAAAATCTACGATCGATTCATTTTCTATTCACCATACCAATTATGGATTGGTATTATTTTGAATATATTGAGATTTATAATTAATAATTTTTTTATATATACTTACGAAATATGGTGCTATCATCAGATACGTATTGGCTATGGAAAATAATGTTGCGAAGAAAAAATACATATACATGAGGAAGACACTTATAGCTATGTCTGCTAAAATTTTTATTTGTTAATTAATCATAACATTTGTTAAAAAAAGGATAATATATTTATTTCAAAACTCACTTGAATTAGACGTAATAAAAAGATGCAACCAAATTGAACCAAATGGATTCAAGTATTGAATGAAGATATAAAAATCAATTTCCGTTTTCGATGATATATATTTTATCGAAAACAAGCTCGTTGTAAATCCCAATATTATCTAGAAGAATATTAAAAATATAAAACTGTCTAAAAATTATATTAAATATTAATGAAATTGAATAGATAAAACAAGATTTTTATTAATTATTATAACAATTGTAATAAATTTTCGAAACTTTTCGTTTTTACAAGAATATAATCCTTCCATTCGTCAAACTAATAATTATTGGATTATTCGAATATTTCTATTGTATTAAAAATAATAATAAATGCATTTTAAATAATAATTTTGCTCGTAAATTTTTGAATACTTGTAATTTGTTATTGATAAAAACAAATTCGTTTAATAATCTGATAGATTATTTTAAAATATTACATGAGAAAAAAAGTTTCATTGACAAATTGTCCGTTACTTACCATGTTGCATATGCCGATAATTCTTGTGGCTGACAACATTTTAACGTGATATATTTTCTTCATGTCGATTTTTTAATATTTTACACAAAATACTTGAACACATTAAAATGAGGTTTCTATTTTCCACAAATAAACACGCGTTAAATTTCGAGATGAGGAAATTCTATCCAAAATTGATGTATTAAATATTTCTTTATAAACTTATGCTCAATCGTCGATATCGTGCATCACACTGTGTGTCGATAATACTCTTCTAGTTCAAATAAATCGATTCGGTTATCAGTTTGATAATTTGATTTTTATCGTATTGAAAAATATATATATATATTTTTAAAGTAACGATTAGATATATTAATAACGATACAATTATAAATATAACATAAATAATACAGTAATAATATTATGTAATTTCTTTATGAATAATTTTCGTTAAATTTTAAATGATTAATCATAAATCGAATGAAGATATTCTCGAAGTTACATACGTCATAATTTGCGCATGCTCAGTAGCGTCAGTACTGTACAGTAGTATCAAGTATAAGTGTGTGCTTGACATGTGGCTTTAGGTTAGATTTCGTGTTTTTATTTTAAATATTTTAAATATTATACTTGTTTTCTATTAATTTTTAACGTAATACTGTTCTTTAAAGTGAAAGTTAGAAAAATAATAATTCGAAATGACTGTACAAGACATGGATATTTGCTTAAATATTTCTACAAAACCTGTTGCTAAAGAGGTAAGTAAAAAGGTGAAAAAAATATTGTTAATCTATTTTAATGGAATTGTACTTTTTAAATAGAAAATAGGAATAGAAAATGATTCTATTCTTAACTTAATGAGAGAAAAAAAAATTGAGGAAGTAAAAAATAAAGTTAAAGCAAGTAATACGTTAAAAAATGTCTCCGTTAAAGAAACAAGTACTATTAGGAAAAGAATTAAACAAAAATCTCTAGGAGTAATTGTTGCAAAAAAATTAAAGGAAATTAATCAAAGTCAATCTTCACAAAATGAATCAAAAGTTAAACCACAAATAAATAATATACGTAAAGATTCGCAACAACAGAGAATATCTAAAGTAGACGCATGTAAAAATAATAATGAAATGTCTAATAAAATTAATGATATTTCTGATAATCCTATTATTTCTTTTACTAAGATTACAAAAGAAAATTATGGTAAAACTATATTGGCAAGAAAAAGAAAGATTATAGATACAAATTCTAAAAGAACATTGTCTAGTATATTTTCAAAACAATCAGAATCGGAAGATGTTAGTCTGCTGAATTCGTTAAAAAAAATACAACAAGAACAAAGTGAAAAGAAAGATCAAAAGGAATCTAAAGAAGAATCTAAAAAAATTTCTAGTTCATTAGAAAAAATGAATTTTGATAAGAAAAAGAAAAAGAAACAAATAGAAAAATTAAAAATCGACAATGATAATAATACAGAAGATGATAAAAATACGCATTTTTCTCATAAATCTTTTGGAAAAGTATCTTCTTTATTCGGACATAATCCAGAAATACCAAATATTGGACAAAGATTAGTAAAACCGATAAATGAACCAATATTTACAGCAACAACTTTTACTGATCTTAATATTCATCCTTTCATGGTTAGTATTTTATATACATATGTATAATATATTGATATAATAATATATATTTGACTAAGTATGAAACATTTTATTAGATATCTAATTTAGAACAAAATATGCATATTACTAAAATGACTACAGTTCAGCAAAAAGCAATACCTCAGATATTTTCAAGGAAAGATGTTTTAGTTAGATCTCAAACTGGTTCAGGAAAGACACTAGCTTACGCTTTGCCAATAGTTGAATGTTTACATAAGATTAGACCAAAATTAAATAGAAATAGCGGGTTAAAGGCTCTTATAGTTGTACCAACTAGAGAATTGGCACTACAAACTTATGAATGTTTCTTGAAATTAATAAAAGTAAGTTTTTTTTATCACTGCATAATTATTAATGATATATAGAGATTCGAATCATATTTTCATTCAAATTATTTTAGCCATTTACGTGGATTGTGCCTGGATATTTAGCAGGAGGTGAAAAAAGGAAAGCAGAAAAAGCTAGATTGAGGAAAGGATGTAATATTTTAGTCGGTACACCGGGTAGATTGTTAGATCATATACAACGAACAGCAGCTTTAAAATTAAGCGATGTTAGATATTTCGTTTTGGACGAAGCAGATAGAATGTTTGATATGGGATACGAAAAAGATATATCAGGGTACGTTCTTTTAATTGAAATCGTAAAAATTGTGTCAATATTAATAAAAAAAAAAAAAAAATTCTTCTATAATACAATTTCAGAATAGTGAGTGCTCTGAAAGTATCAACTCCTAGTCAAAATACGGGATACGATGCTATGAAAATATTACGTCAAAATATAAAGAAAGTTGCAGACGAAGATGTTGAACATTTGGAAAATAATTTAGGTGATTTAGAAAAAAATGATGATCAAAAAGAATCAATCGTTAAATCGAACAAGAATGTTAATTCAGAATATGAAGATGAAATTGAAGACGTTAAACAAAAACAAGTGTATCATTCCAGCAGCGATGATGATTCCGACGAAGGTGAGCCTTATGTTAAATCAAAAAAGTCAGATAAACAAAAAATTTGCCCAGTTCTTACGGAGAAAAAAGAGTCCAATGTGTCGAAAGATAAAATTCAACAAATGAAAGATGATAATAATAGCGAGGATGAATTAAGAAGACAAACAATTTTACTTTCTGCAACATTGACCCAAGCGGTTGAAAAATTAGCCGGCCTCGCTATGAATCATCCTGTTTTCATTGATGCTGCGAAAGAAAATTTGGAAACAACTGATAGCGATGGGACTGAACTTAACGAAGATTTAGTAGTTCCACAAAGCGTAAATCAAAGTTATATCGTGACACCTCCGAAATTGAGATTGGTTACTTTAAGTGCTTATATTGCAGGAAAATGTCAGGTAAATTTAATATGTCAAATAATTCGTGTGCTCTCTCTCTCTCTCTCTCTCTTTCTTCCTCTCTCTTTCTTTAAGTATTATTCGTACTGTCAATAGAGCCATGGTCAACACAAAATATTGATATTTATGGCTACTCAAGATATGGTTGATTATCATACAGAAATCTTGTCATCCGTGTTAACGAAACCGATCGATGAAAATGACGATGATTCTGATCCTTTGGTAGTCATGGAATTTTTCAAGTTGCACGGTAGCATGACTCAAAAAGAGCGAATCGAGATTTTCAAAACTTTTAGACAGGCGAAAAGTGGGATTCTACTTTGCACGGTAAGTAATGCTTTGTATATAAAATAACCAAATCTAGATATTTTCAATTGTTATATATGTGAGTGACACGAGTGAGTTTATAAAAACAATGAAGCTGTTCCGTGAAAGTAGAAATTATTATAGAATAGTGGCAAATAAACGGAGAAAAAGAAGGAAAGAATAGAAGAAAAACTAGGGATACCGGCGGCACTCCCCAAGCAGTAAATTACCCCGTGGCTTATTCTTTCAGGGCGGAATTTAATATCTCTGGACCCACGCTGTGTTCCGGAGGTTAAAAATTATGCGCGCACATGAGACCTTGGTAACGAGTATAATTATAATTGTTATGTTTGTCTTTTACCTTTAATAACGAATGCTTGCATTAATGATTAGTAATTAACTAATTTCGGTCTGGAATAAAATACGTTATTTTTTTTTTTTATAGATATTTCATTTCAAAAAATAACTGGATATCTATATTTTTCACTCGATGGCTTTTCTCCGTTTATTGTCATTATTATGCGATAATTTAATCACGATCACAACGAATCAACCCTTCGCATATTTCCAGAACAATTATTTAATCATTAACAGTGAAAGCAGCGATTCTTACGTCCGATAAATATCGTTAAAAGTGTAATAATAATTAAATTCATTATCATTTATTTTGTAATTCTCTTCCTTGTCGATTAACATGAATTTAAAACCGCTTAAAGCCATCGCTAAGAAAAAGGAAGAGATCATGAAACTCCGGAAGAACGAATTTTAAAATTCATGATCCACGACACGCAACAGTGTTACACAGTGTGCACGGTTTAAGGATTAATTTCTTTTAATCAGGCGATCTGATCGTTCGATTCAACACACATATTTCTCACAATAACTCGTTGTCATTATCTTTCATCATTTTCGTACGAAAAACCGATTAATTGCCATCAAGATTCACCCGAATCGAATAAATCGATACATGGAATAAATCACGATGGAGAATTTTGCCACGATCATCTCCTATTCGTCGAGAATTTCAATGCTTCGAGAGGTATAAACGTTAATGGCCGAGAGCGCATGAACAACGATGGCAGCCGCCCACATTTTACAGCGTCACTTGGACGGAGATTGTGTGGCAGCATTATTAATTTCCACGTTGAAAACTCACGAGAGCCCCCGCGGATGGAATGTTCCGCGGCTCTCAGCGGTGGTGGATCCGGATCCACGAGGTGATCTATGGTCCGAGTGAGATGTTTTGAGCGAACGATCCGTTCTCGATCCTCCACGTAGCCACGATCGCGGCCTCTCTCTCCTAAACGATCGTTTGTCTTAATCTCTGCCATCGATCGCTCCTCGTCCCTGTTTTCCTTGCGTTGTATCGCGGCAGCTACGATCCTCCTTTCGTACGTGGGCGTTTCGATCTCACGAACTTCTAATCAATTGTCACCATTTCCGAACAATCTTTCGGAGGATATTATCTTTTCGAAAATCGAGATGGATTATTTTATACGTATTCGCGATAATTATGAAGAAAGAGAAAGAAAAAGAAAGAAAACCGGTCGGTATTTTATCTCGATGGAAGAAATTCTTTCTCGTATTCCTTCACCCCGGCGCCGTTTTGCGTTTAAGCTTGGCGTCGAATTAATTCGATAAAAAAAGATTATAGAGAAAAGAAGGGTGGAGGGGGGCAGACACATCCGTATCGTGCCGCGAAAGAATTTTCGGGGCCACGACGCCCCCCCACTGGTGGTCCAGGATTAGTCTCCAGGCAGTCGTCAAGCAGAAACTCGATGTGCTCCGTTCGGTAAATCATTGGTTAACCGAACGCAAGGAAATCAGGGCCGTGCTCAAACGTTCGCCGTTGGGGTCCCGCAGCGGGCGCCCGCTGCCAGCCGCGCTCATTCACCTTGGTACAAAACGAGAAATCGGCACGGTTTGTAAGACATTTGTACCGGCAGATCTCGCGCCGCGGCTCCTGCCTCCT